GCCAGTAATTGAGTAAAACCAAAACTTATTATAAGCCACAGACATCCTAGGGTCCCCCCTGCTGTGTAGCCTCCCTGGTTCTGTGAATTGCAGTCTGATTGTTCTTTGCTTTATATCTAGAATCCACTTATGAGTGAGTACATACCATGTTTGTCCTTCTGGGTTTGGGTTACCTCACTCAGGATGATATTTTCTAGTTCCATCCATCTGCCTGTAAATCTCATGCTGTCATTGTTTTTCTCTGCTGAGTAGTACTCTATTGTGTATATATACCACATTTTCTTAATCCATTCTTCAATTGACGGGCATCTAGGTTGTTTCCAGGTTCTGGCTATTACAAATAGTGTTGCTATGAACATAATTGAGCATGTATCTTTGTGGTATGATTGAGCATTCCTTGGGTATATGCCCAAGAGTGGTATGGCTGGGTCCTGAGGTAGATCAATTCCCAATTTTCTGAGAAACCGCCGTACTGATTTCCACAAGTTTGCATTCCCACCAACAGTGGAGGAGTGTTCCCTTTACTCCGCATCCTCTCCAACATTGACTGTCATTACTGTTTTTGATCTTAGTCATTCTGACAGGTGTAAGGTGGTATCTCAGAGTCATTTTGATTTGCATTTCTCTGATGATTAAGGATGTTGAGCATTTCTTTAAATATCTTTCAGCCATTTGTGATTCTTCTTTTGAGAATTCTCTGTTTAGCTCTTTAGCCCATTTTTTAATTGGATTGTTCAGTATTTTGATGTCTAGTTTCTTGAGTACTTTATATACTTTGGAGATCAGTCCTCTGTCAGATGTGGGGTTGGTGAAGGTCTTTTCCCATTTTGTAGGCTGTCTTTTTGTCTTATTGACCATGTCTTTTGCCCTACAAAAGCTTCTCAGTTTCAAGAGGTCCCATTTATTAATTGTTGTGCTCAGTGTCTGTGCTGCTGGTGTTATATTTAGGAAGTGATCTCCTGTGCCAATGCATTCAAGAGTACTTCCTATTTTCTCTTCTATTAAGTTTAGTGTAACTGGATTTATGTTGAGGTCTTTGATCCACTTGGACTTGAGTTTTGTGCATGGTGACAGATATGGATCTAGTTGTAATCTTTTACATATTGACATCCAGTTATCCCAGCACCATTTGTTGAAGATAATTTCTTTTTTCCATTGTATAGTTTTGGCTTCTTTGTCAAAAATCAGGTGTTCATATGTGCGTGGATTAATGTCAGGGTCTTCAGTTTGATTCCATTGGTCTGTATGTTGGTTTTTATACCAGTACCAAGTTGTTTTTATTACTGTAGCTCTACAGTAGAGCTTGATGTTAGGGATGGTGATGCCTCCAGAGGTTGCTTTATTATACAGGATTCTTTTAGCTATCCTCGGTCTTTTGTTTTTCCACATGAAGTTGAGTATCTTTCCAAGTCTGTGAAGAATTGTGTTGGGATTTTTTTTTCTTTTTCTTTTTTTTTTTTTTTTTTGGTTTTTCGAGACAGGGTTTCTCTGTGTAGCTTTGCGCCTTTCCTGGGTAGTCCAGGCTGGCCTTGAACTCACAGAGATCCACCTGGCTCTGCCTCCCGAGTGCTGGGATTAAAGGCGTGCGCCACCACCACCCGGCTGTGTTGGGATTTTGATGGGGATTGCATTGAATCTGTAGATTGCTTTTGGTAAGATTGCTGTTTTTACTATGTTAATCCTACCTATCCATGAGCATGGGAGATCCTTCCATTTTCTGATATCTTCTTCAATTTCTTTCTTTAGAGATTTAAAATTCTTATCAAAAAGGTCCTTCACTTGTTAAGTTAGTGTTATCCCAAGGTATTTTATATTATTTGTAGCTATTGAAAAGGGTGATGTTTCTCTGACTTCTTTCTCAGCCCTTTTAACATTTGTGCAACATACTTCTTTCTCTTGGGCTGTTTCCACTTCCTGTTAGCAGCTCTCCTGGGCAGGTATCCCACGGCTCTGGCATCTCCAACATCTTCAGGTCTCCAAGGCAATCCAGGCTTCAACTTCACAGCTTCACTCAATGGCCTCTCTAGGCCTCCATTCAGGGACATCCCTGACACATGCCTAACCTCAGCGGCTTTCCTTAGTCACGGAGGCAAATTCCATAATCTGTTTCTTCTCTCCTTAACTGTAAAGCCAGAACCACTTGGCTGAAACTGCCAAGTTCTGCTGCTTGCTAGGGCTAGAACATGGCCCCTTGTCCAATTACATCTTCACCAGTTTTCTGTTTTCCATGGTTTCCTTCACTGTCTAAGTTTGGCTGTTCTGGAATCTGATCTTTAGAACAGGCTGGCATCAAACTCAGAGATCCACCAGCCTCTTTCTTCTAAGTGCTAGGATAAAGGCATGCACCACCACACCCTGTTTTAAGCTATTCTTTAATTCCTGTTCATAAGTTGGACCCTTAGCTGGGTGGGATCTTATCCTGGGGTCATCTCTCTTTTTATTCCATTTCTTAACCCATTTATCTCCTTCAACACAAGACTTAGCTCCATTCCACTTCCTGGTGCTCCTTTTCTCCCCAAATTTTACATATTCTAATTTACCTGCTCAGCTTGCTCCTTTTCATGATAAATCTTCATTACAGTTACCACTAATAACCACATGACAGAGTCTGTGCTAGGCTGTTTTGAGATTTCCTCTGCCAACGGAATTAATCCAAAAGGCTTCACTTTAGCCTCAGACAGACTCTTCAGACAAGGGCAAATAGCATCCACATTCTTCACCAAAATATCACAAGAGCGGTCTCTAGGCCACACACTAACATTCTTCTCCTCTGAAACCCCTTGATTTAGGCCCCCACAGTTCATCAGATCACTCTCAGCACCACTGTCCTCCATGTTTCTACTAGGAGGGCCCATTAAGTGTCACTTAAAGCATTCAAGTGCTTTTCTAATCCACAGTGCCAAGGTCCATATTCCTTCAAACGAAAGCATGGTCAGGCCTATCACAACAATACCCCAGTCCCCCAAATCAACTTCTGTCTTAGTTAGGGTTTTTATTGCTGTGAAGAGACACCATGACCATGGCAACTCTTAAAAAAGAAAGCGTTTAATTGTGAGTGCCTTACAGTTTCAGAGGTTTAGTCCATTATCATCATGGCAGGAAGGATGACAGCATGCAGGCTGACATGGTGCTAAAGAAGGAGCTGAGAGTTCTATATATTGATCTGCAGGCAACAGGAAGTGGTCTGTCTCACTGGGCATGGCTTTAGCATGTATGAGACCTCAAAGCCCGCCTCCACAGTGACAAACTTTCTCCAACAAGACCATACCTACTCCAACAAGGCCACACCTCCTCATAGTGCCACTTTCTTTATGGGTCATTTTTTTTTTCAAACCACCACACCCTTTAATGCAGGGTCTCACTATGTAGCCCTGTCTGGCCTGGAACTCACTATGTAGACCAGACTAGCCTTAAACTCACAGAGATCCTCCTGCCTCTGTCTTCCTAGTGCTGGGATTAAATGCGTTCGCCACCATGCGGTCTTACTAGCTTTTCAAAGCCATTCCCATTTTCCCTGCTTATCATTACTCCAAAAGGAAAAACTTCACAACCAGAGAGCAGTCAACTGTCCCTGTGGAGCGAATCCCATGTCTCAGATGGGATTCTACATGCTATAAACCTTCACTTCCTGGCTAATGTTGACAATGGCTCCTTAGTGACACGCAGTGATTAATAGCCCTATGTCAGGATTTCACAATATGAAGCTCAAATTGCAAAGTTAATCCAATGAAAATACACACCAGGTATTTATAGTGAAAATACCTGTTGAAAGACTTCCCCCCTATAGACACATACAACATAGCTCCCAGGGAGGAGACCATCATTTTCCTAAAATTTTGGCAAGAAGCTGAGGAGCCCTGGTAAGACTGGCACCTTGGCGGAACATTTCCTCCTCCCTGTGACACCCCGTCAGCTTCTGACGGTCCCGTTCCTGCTCCTCAGAGCTGCAAATGGCTGGAAGAGATTTTCCTCTTCTTTACTTTATGGTCCTAACTCACAACTTACAGCAGCCATAAAAGAAGAAATGTATTGGTGGAAACATGATGCAGTACTGAGGGGCCACGACCACTTTAAGATGAAGTTCGAAATGCATAGCCAAGCGACAGACTCATCGGGGTCCAGCCTGTGCTAAGGGGGTCAAGTTGCAGAGAAACCAGTGGAGGTGCTTGGGGAGATGGTTCAGCCAGTGAGGTGCCTGTTGGGGAAGCATGGGGATACACAGCACCCACAAAAAAAGGTAAAAGCCAACTATGGAACACATGGAGGGCATATGCTTTTAATCCCAAGACTCAGGAGGCTGAGGCAGGGGGAGCTCTGTGAGTTGGAGGCCAGCCTCACGTACATAGCAAATTCAGAACACTGAGGGATACAAGGTGAGATTCTGTTTAAAAGACAAACCAAAACAAAACTGAGTGTGGCTGGCATGTCTCTATAACCCCAGCATTGGAGTGATAGAGACGGAATGATTCTGGAACTCACTGGTCAGCTAGCCTGCCCTGACCAGTGAGCTCACAGTTCAAAGACACTGTTGCAAGCAGCTGGAGCAATGGCTCCAGTGTTTAAAAGCACTTTTGCAGAGGACTCAGTTTGGTTTCCAACACCCATGTGATGCCTCATAACTATCTGTAACTCCAGTTCCAGGGGCTCTGACATCCTCTTCTGCCAGCTGCAGGTACACACACACACACACACACACACACACACACACACACACACACACACACACACACACGGTACACACTGGCAGACAAAAGTTATATACATAAACCAAAATAAACACCTCTTAAAAGAGAGAGAGAAAGAGAGAGAACCTGTCTCAAAAAACAAGTTTGGGCCGGGCAGTGGTGGCGCACGCCTTTAATCCCAGCACTTGGGAGGCAGAGCCAGACGGATCTCTGTGAGTTCGAGGCCAGCCTGGACTACCAAGTGAGTTCCAGGAAAGGCGCAAAGCTACACAGAGAAACCCTGTCTCAAAAAACCAAACCAAAAAACAAGTTTGGATACTTAGCTGGCAGGGAAGGTATCGTGACCACAAAGGTGGTTTCCCAGGATGAGGCTTATCCATTATCCTTGGGACATTCTGACTCCTATGATTTCCCCAAATGCAGAAAACTCAACTGCGTAATGTGTGGAAGGAGGGGACTATGCTCACGTTCTCCCCTATAAGAATAAACATTAAAAAAAAGTTAAGGGAGAGAGTAATTGAGGAAGACACCTGATGTCAAATTCTACATGCACCTGTGCGCACGTGCATGCATGTGCACATACACACACACCACACATACACACACACCACACATACATACACACCACATACACACACACACCACATACACAAATTCACACACACACGCCATATACACACCACACACACACACACACACACACACACACACACCACACATACATACACACCACACACACATACACACACACACCACATACACAAATTCTCACACACACCATATACACGCCACACACACACACACACACACCACACATACACACACACTACACACACACATACACACACACACCACATGCATATACACATACACACATTCACACACACACCACACCACACACACACATACACACCATACACACTACACACACACACATACCACACACCACACACACACACTACACACCACACACACACACACACACACCACACACACATACACACATTCACACACACACCACACCACACACACACACACACACACACACACACACACACACAGGGAAATCAATGGAGATCTGAAATGCTCCTTGGTTCGAGGTGAGGCAAGTCACACAGAGGCCCTTCTTCCTCCCTCTTGGGACATTTGGCATGGGAGTTAGGGATGACAAAAATAAGTCTCTCTGTCACTCATAGCAGCATCACAAGTGATTATGCTTCCTCCATCAGGCAGATCGTAATTTATTATGCATTCATTTATGAAATATGTCTGACACCCACTCTCTTTAAATTGCTCACAGCCCCGGGAGGGGCCCAGTCACGAAAACAAACAGCTACAAGGCGAAAGGCTACATGGTAGAAGGAGAAGGCAGAGCACAGAGGAGGGTCTGTGACTTGACCTTTGAACACGGGCAGCAGGACAACCGGAGAGTCTCAGAGCAGGGACCTAGGCCACCAATGCCGGAAGTCTAAACCGAGTCCCGGGTCCAGGCACAAAATCAAAGTCAAGAGCCAGAAGGACAACGCAAAGGGTCCAGAAGAAATGCTTATTGCTGGAGCACAGATTCCAAATCTGGGGTCCCAGGGTCGGGGGCAGATTGATCACAAAATGGGAAAGTCAGCACCAGTGACACGAACATCCGTGTTGCCTCTTCACCCTCTCTTCTGGGACACCCCTCATGATCCCGTAACAAATGGGTCAAGAGAGATCAGCAGAGACCCCCGGCTTTCACGAGCTTGTCAGGGTCTGTGATAAATGTGGATCAGTCAGACTGGACTGGGAGGACTGGGATGCAGTGAAGAGAGGAACTTCTTCCTCTTTGGGATGCATGGGAAATGACGGAAGGGGAGGGAAGTAGCTGGCAGCCAGGGGCGTCCAGGGGTCACGTGCTCGTGGATTCCAAGTACGTGAGGGGCTGGGACCACTCATGGGCTGGTGTCAGCGGCCAGCCTCCAGAGGTTGTACTTTGTCTTGGGGACACAGTTTTGAAACTGTGGGGTGTGAGCCTGGATGAAGTGGTATAATTTAAGGGGGGGGGGAGCACAAAACATTGACTGCAGTAAAATATCGTTGAAAGCAGTTACCAAACATTAACTCAACATCGAATGCATAATGAATCCAAGGTATTTAGGGCGTCACTCACCCATGTGGTATCACACAACTGCACTGCAACCTTGGTTATGGACAGTGCTGAACACACAACCCCTGTGCCTTGTAGTGAACGTACTGTGTGCCATACGACATCGACATTCACTGCTCGCATTTAATTATGGAAAAACAAAACCTACCACCGTTATTAAGCATGTAGGTATCCAATTAGAAGATTTAAACTGTGTTGGGCTAGAATGTTTGCTTTTACAAATTGCTGCTTGAGGGCTGGCAGGACAGCTCAGTGGGTAAAGATACAGGCCGCCAAGCTTGAAGACCTAATGTCAGTGCTCAGGACCCACAGGGAAGAAGAGAAGTGAGTCCCACGAGCTGTTCCCTGTCCTTCACACACAGTTGCACACAGACACAAGTACACCCATAATAAAATTTCTTTTAGTTGCTGCCTGGGTTCTGATTTAAATTCGTAAGAAATTGTTCCATGAATCTTGGCATGGGATTAGGGCAGCATTGCCAACAGTTTCTGAAATGCCCCCCCTTTTTTTTGTATGATGCAGTTAAGTGAAGCTCTGTGCTCGACACTGACTCCTACAAAATCAAATATTGATCAACTCCAAAGAAAAAGTCAGTGTAGATCCACATCCTGCAGCATCAGATGGTCAACCAAGATATAATTTTGTTGTTGTTGTTGTTGCTGTTGTTTTGTTTGTTTTTGGAGACAGAGTTTCTCTGGGTAGCCCTGGCTGTCCAGGAACTCACTCGGTAGATCTGCTGGCCTCGAACTCAGAGACCCCCCCATTCCCTGCCTCTGCCTCCTAAGTGCTGGGATTAAATTCGTGTGCCACCACCACCCGGTTTAGGATTCAGTTCTTTAAGTGAAAATCACCCAGCACACCCATCTCACCGATGTTCCAGTCTGCTTTCATTTTTAATAAAATGGTTATAAACGGCGAAACTCTGAGGTACATGTGTGTACATAAATATATACACACATGCATAAGTGTATGTCTTAAATAACTGTGTTAGCATATTCTTTCTCTCTCTCTCTCTCTCTCTCTCTCTCTCTCTCTCTCTCTCTCTCTCTCTCTCTCTCTGCATGTATCTTTTTTAAGTTGTGTGTGCTCTGTCAGTTCCTACATGCCGTGGAGCATGTGTCGAAGTCAGAGGACAGCCTCCCAGGCTGGTCCTTGTCTTGCAACCGCCTTGCCTGAGACAGGGTCTCTTGTTATTAATTGCTGTATACCCTAAGCTAGCTAGCTCAGAGCCTCTGAGGATTCTTCTGTCTCCACCTCCCATCACATCATAGGAGAGCTGGGACCACAGACACACACTACTGTGCTGGGCTTTATGTGGGTCCTACGGATCCAACCCCGGGTCCTCAGGCTTGCGTGGCAAGCTTTTGACTCACTGAGTCTTCTCCTCAGCCCAAGAATAAATTTCTTTACCAGTAAGTTTTTGCTTCATATACTTATTTTACATAGCTGCATATCCAGAGCTGTGTAAACATCTCTAAGGCAAAAGAGGTCATAAGTGAGAAAAAATTTAAGAAACCCAGCTAGACACACACACAAAATCTCTTCAGTTAAGACCCATTGTTGGGCCTGGCGTACACCTTTAATCCCAGCACTCAGGAGGCAGAGACAGGTGGATCTCTGTGAGTCTGAGGCCAGTCTGGCCTGCATATTGGAGTTCCAGGACAGCCAGAGCTACATAGCGAGACCCTGACTTAAAACAGAGAAGAAGAAGAAGAAGAAGAAGAAGGAGGAGGAGGAGGAGGAGGAGGAGGAGGAGGAGGAGGAGGAGGAGGAGGAGGAGCTGTCTCTGAGCCCTCAGGCTGCTGGCAATTGTCATCACCTAACTGGTAGACCTGAGAACAGCAGCTGTCATCTAACTCTGTCCTATGTCCAGAGACCAGGGCACTAGGGACAGGTGGCATTTGTGAGCAGTTCATTTGTCCCTTCCTGGCTTAGCTGGGCTGTATCTGAAGTATGATGGAAGTGTGAGAATCCCACACAGCTTTCCTCACTTCCACCCATGTACGGGGGTCCCCTTCTCCACGGGTCTGCTTTCATGGTTTCAGTTGCAGTCAGTCATGGTCAGAAAATAATCGATGGGCAATTTAAGAGATAATCAATTCATAAATTAGAAATAACTTATTATAGTCTATCACTTCATCTTTCTAATTTATTATTAGTTACTATTGCCAATTTCTTACTATTATTTTTATTTAATTTATAATTAAACTTTATCTAAGTGTGTATGCACAAGGATGTGCAAGTGTAAGTTGTGTGTAAGTTCAGAGTTATGGGGGATTCCAGGCATCCACTGGGTGTCTTGGAACAGATGCCCTGATGATGGGGAGGCGGTATCATGTAAATTCACCTGTAAATTGCTTTATGTTCATCAAAGCATCTAGGGTTCCAAAAGATGGTTACACCAAGTCTTAGACTCATCCTAGGATTGGGGTAAGGAGACCAAGGCTCAGAGAAGGTCAGGCCCCCATTCATGACTTAAGACAGGAAGCCAGGCCTGCCAGGAACCTTCTCCCGTGAACTCCTAGCTGCCGGGCACCATTGTTCCTCTGGGAGAAGTGAGGCAACATGAGGGCTCCCTCCTCCAAGGGTCTATGGTTTCCCCAGAATGCCTGCTCCTCAGGCCAGGTGAGTTTCATTTTATGGCAGAAATCAGTCCAGCTGGGCCTTTCAGGCAACATCCCAGGGGGATGGAAGATGTTTTTGGGGAAAGTGCTCGTAATAATATTTTTGCATTTATAGGGCCCCTATTTTTCTGAGCATTTTACAGTCCGTTGAACTGAGTCATCGGCCTCCTGTGGGTAATTGCTGTGTTTATAACTCACAGCTCCTTTTGAGGATTAGGAAGGGTGAGGCTGGGTGTCTATTCCAGCTAGCCCACTCCTCAGCCGCTTCCCCTGTGGGATTACAGTCCTCCAGCGTGAAGGGGGCCCTCCGGCACCCCAGGCTCTTTCCTGATACTTCCTGGGACCACCTAGATCCATCTTGTAGACACTTTGCGACAAGCTGGTTTCCCCAGGCAGTGGCAGGTCATCTTTCCATCCCTCCCTTCGCTCTCCACAGCATCATTGGAGTCCAAACCAGGGATTCTGCTAACGGGGGGGGGGGGGGGGGGGGGGGGGGGTACTCTGTGCAGCAGTGAAAAGCCTTTTAAGCTTGCATATGAACTGGGATTTTTCTCGAGGAGCTTGAGGGTGTGGACCAAGAAGTGAAACCCTCCCCAGGGCTCTACATTGCACAACTCAGTCCTACTTGGGGCCCTGCCAGTCCCTTCACTCCGTGTCCCTGCCTCCTGCTACTCTGAGAAGCTCCCTCTTTTATACACTGCCTTGCAGATCTG